GGAGGACACCTCCAAAGCCAGAAGATTCACAATTCCCAGAGAGTCACAGCTGAGCAACAGCACCAGGAGACTTGAAAATGGGCTGAATCCCTCCACACCTTGTCATTAACATTCCAGTGCAAGGGGAATCCCTCTGATGTCTCAGATTTCCCACCAGCAGCTTGAGGGAGGACTGGACCCCACCTGCCTTTGGAAAACCTGCATGAAAGCCCCTGTTCTTGCTCACCCAAGGTTTCAGCTCTCCACATCTCTGCTTAAGCACACTTAGCATGTGGATTGGGCACTTATTTCCAGCAAGGGCTCCTAGTCCTTACAGAAAGCACTCTTATCTCAGATTTCAAACTCTTAGATAAACTCAGAGGGGTTGCAAATAGAGCAGGCAAAGTTTGCAGAATGTCATATGCCCAAGAGGATGGGTATTTTGGGCTCAGAAACTCTTATACCAAATATCTATTCTCCCCCCTCTACCCTGCTCACTTCTGGTCACTTGTCCCTAGCCCCAAAAACCTTGAGATAGCCAAGAGAACAGACCACAGCTTGCACAGCCAGCTCTTGTGCTGTGCCCTGCCAGCAGCACTCCCCACAGCTGTGAGCAGCAGGGTCTTGCTCCTGTCCCTGCCCTCCCACACCAGCTCCAGCCCAGCACAGCTTAATGACTCGATCTGTGTTCAGCACAACACCACATTCTTCAGTGCAGAAATCATTAACATCTGCACAGCTTATGCATGGCCTGCCCAGGACAAACCCCTCGAGGGGTGAGTGGATGGAGGGCTGAGGCTGTTCCCTACGCTGGGAATGTGTTCCTCACCACTGCTCCCCATGCTCATGGGGAAGGCAGGAGTGTGCTGATCACTTGGTAATGCTAATCCTGCTCCTGTGCTCTGGGTCCCACACACCTGGAGCTGCTCCCTCCTTCCTCACTGGGACAGGGGAGCTTGGACTGCTCAGGGAATCCTCAAACCTTCACTGCCAGTTGACCACTGCAAGTCTTTTCCCTGCAGCTGAACTAGGGTTTTGTAGGAAGCCCACTAGGACAGAAGTGACTGCCACCCCCTCCTCCCACCCCAGAAACTCCAGATGGGACACCAGACACCATGGCCACAAAACCAGTGTGACACTGGCTTCCCTCATCACCGTGGTCACCGACTCAGATGGAGAGCTGTGGTGAAAAACAACATTTCCAGTTCCTTCTTTTGCTCTCCTTTGCAAACTCAGTTTCATTTAGCTCAGTTATTTCTACCCAGGGGTATCATTTACCAGCCCAACACAAAGGGCCCAATTCAGCTTTGAGACCTGGGCCCAGGCAGCAGCAGGAGCCACCAGAGACCAGAGTAGTGTTACCTGCTGCCATCACCACTGAACAGCCTCTGCAGAAGGCAAACATCACTGAAAGCCAAAACAGGGCCAAAACACCTCCTGGCCACTAGGTCACAGCTTCATTCCTGCCCTGCAGGAGCAGCAAGCAGCTTCCACCTCCCAGCAGGACAGGGGATGTGAGGACAGAGCACAGAGTCTCTCTGGGAGCAAAAAGCGGGACAGAAATGGTGAAGATTGAAGGGAATGCATCCAGACCTGATGGCTGAAGGATACATGCCCAGGAGCCACCAGCCCTGGCAAAAAAGCAGCACAGGTGACACTGCACACAGCATTAGGGCTCAGTTCCCTTGTGCTTCAACTGGAGGGGGGCTGGAGAGCCCGCCAGCACCACAGCTCTGCTCCAGGTGCAAGGAAGCAACAAGGGGCTGTACTTGAAAGGCATTCCACTCTCCACATTGTGTGTGAGCTGGGCTGTGACTGTGATAAGGAAAACACTCACAATGGCACACAGGAATTCAGTCCCCAGGGCCCGTGACTCAAACTCAGAGTGGCTGAAAGTTCCTCCTAGAGCCCGGCTGAAGTTTTTCCTAGAGCCCTTTGCTAAAGTTCTCATTTTAAGGAGCATGTTCTATTAATAAGAACTGCTTTAAAAGCCTCTCCCCTGCTCCTGCCCTGAACAGCCTTTCTTGAGCTCTTGACTTTTCTAAGCCAATAAACTCAGTCAGACAAGCCCCAGTTACCTGCAACACAACCTGAGCAAAGCCAGATCCATCCTTGCTCCCCAAAAAGGTGCCTCCAGCTGGCAGGCCAAGCTCTCACAGGGGTGTTGAAGTGCTGAATGCCAGCCACCCTGCCTGCAGGGGCTGGGAAGGGCCGAGGGATGCTCGTGCCTGCCCTTGATGGGAGAAGCAGGCACCTGCTCTCTAACAGGCTGAATTCCTTCCCTGCAGCCCAGAGCATTAGAAGGTAAAACAAGGTTGAAACTAATCTGTGCTGGATTAGACCTGCCACCTTGATGCACGAGGCTGGACAATGTGATTGCATTGCCTGAAAAGAGGGGAAAACCAAGAGGGGAGCCCACAAGAGTGGTTCAGGCTGGAAGACAGGAGCCAGCACCAGGACTCAGCTATCCTTCAGCAGCACATGTGCACTCAGCCTTCTGCCTGCCAGACCCATATCCCAGAGAGAGCTCTGGGGTAGAAACCAGCCAGGAAAACAGGGCTGGAGGGAGCTAAGTGTTAGGATGAGACAATGAGATTAAGCCTGATAGGAATTTGGCCTGATGGGTTTTATTAGGAGCCCTTGACTGTTTTACAGCCCTAGGGCTCTCCACTGCTGGGGAAAACCCCGTCCCTGGCTCCAGCCACAGTATCAGCCCAAGTTTCTGTATCAGCTGTTTGTCAGGGCGGTGTGAGGCTGTTTGCTGCACTCCCCCATTGCCACACAGAGCTGGCAGAGCACAGCAGCGTGGGGGTTGCTGCCCAGAGCACAATGGCTTCTGAGGATCCATGGGCATCTGCCACCCGTGCTATCTGCAGCTCGGTTTTGAGCTGCTCAAACCCCAGCTCGTAGCGCTGAGCCAGCACACAGGGCAGCAAGGGTGCAAACAAGCAGCTCTGTCAGTGGGAAGTCACACAGCTTGTTTCATTTCTGTCACCCAAACCTCAGCCAAAGAAAAGGCCAGAAGTGATGTCAGCTTAGGGGAGAGATAGGGAACCTGTCCCCTGTGTGGGAACAGCCCTGAGCCTGGGGACACAGCAGTGGCACACCCCCAGCATCACAGCTAGCACAGCTTCCCAGGCCCAGTCCTACAGCTCCCACCAGCTTAAGGATCATGCATCCACCTTGTGCTTGTGTGATGCTGGAGGCTCTGGAGAAGCAAAAGCTACAGCAGTAGGTACAACACAGTCCCTTGAGCCCCAGCCTAAGGGCCAGCACCCCCTCGGCTAGGAGAGATGCATTAGACCCAGCTACACACCTTGGTGCGGGGTGTGCTGTGCCTGCCTTTTAGCTGCAGGTTACAAAGGCTCCATTTTAACCAAGTGCTCTTATTCCACACCTTATGCCTGACATCTCTTTTTCCACAGCACATCCTAATTTCTAGTTAATTGAGTAATTTCTAATGACTTAATTCCCTCCCCAGTGATCTAAACTTCACCTCTACTGTCTCACTGGAGGAGCATATTGCTACTTTTCATAGCTTAGTCAGTGTGAGGGCAAGGTGAGCCCATCTCCTCTGGGCTTTCATCTTGTACAGCAATTTGATTTCTGTACTTGTAACACCAAGGTGTCACCAACTAAAGGAGCACCTACAAAGTGCTAGAAATCCCAGCACTGTTTGCTTCGAGAGTAAAACCTTCTTTTCACCCTCAGAACTGCTCTTAGCTGGGAGGGATGCCAACAGAGCTGCCCCCATAACCATGCCAAGCAATGGACGGGGTAAGCCTGGAGCTCGGGGGAAAGGACCTTGCCTGACCCTGGCATGAAGGGCACGAAGCCCAGTGCACTTTGCACTAATCCAAGAGGTTCCATTCCCCCTGCCCGAGGCTTGTGGGACGTCCAGCCATCCCGGGCAGCCCGTTCACCCGCTGTAATGAAAAGCTAGGAAGGCTGGAGTCAGCTCTGAGCAGCAGAAACTTCTCATTCCGGGAAGGAAAAGTTGAAGCGCTCGATACAGCAGAGAGGAGGTTGAAATCCTCCAGGAGAACAATAGCCCCCATTCTTGCCGGAGCATGTTCCCAAAGGGAATTCCATAGCAGCCAGCCCCCGGGCGCCCACCAGCCCGCTCGGACCTGCCGATGTGCGATGCACGGGAGAAAAGAGCCGCCTGAGAGGGCAATACCAGCGGATGGAGAGCGATCTCCGCAGAAACCCCGCTTCCTCCTGCGGCCGGATCCCCTCCCCAAAGGGGTTTGGGCAGAGGGGTCTCCAGCTCCTCCTGCACCCACCGCCCCCCTCCTCCTCCCGCCCCCTCCGCAGCCCCCTCCCCATTCCCCACAGGGGTCGGGAGGCGGCCCCAGCCCCACCTTGTTGATCTCGTCCAGCCGCCCGTCGTGCGGGGCTCTCCGCAGCCCCCCGCCGCTCGGCCGGCGCGGAGCCGCCATCGCACCGAGCCGCCCGCGCCCGCCGCCGCCTTAAATAGGGGCGGGCAGGGCCGGGCCGGGCCCTCCGCCCCCCGCCCTTAACCCGTTCCCCGCCCCGCACCGGGAGGGCAGCGACGTGCCCGCGGTGCCCGAGCACGGGGGAGGCACCGCCGGCTCTGGGCATCCCGCAGGAGGGAAGGGATCGGCTCCCTGTGCCCGCACCGCCCGCAGGACGCGACTCCGGGACACCGGGCATCGCTCGGAGCTGCCCTGGGAGCGGCATCGCCCCGCAGAGCCACAGGGGCGGGATGGCACAGCCGCTTCCAGGCGCTGGATTAACGCTGGAGTGCGAGCAGCGGGAAAAGGGATGGACCAAGGTGATGTCCCGGCCATGCGTGTCCCGGCCAGGGTCGCACCTCCTCGCTGCCACCCTGACACCTCATTTTAAAATCATGTTCTAGCATGATTTCATGCTAGAATTTTCAGACATTTGCCCCTCACCACCCTAAATGCAGCCGCATCTCATCCCCTGTTCTTTAAAAGCAGCAGACTCAGGTTCAGCGTTCTCTCCTGCTTCCACGCACCCTGGATGGACAGCTGTGTGTTATATTAAGAATTTTTAATGGATACAGCTCTAGGCAGGTGGCACCAGCGAAAAACACAGAGTTCCAGGGAGAGCAGGAGGCAGCGTGAACCACAGCTTCGGCAGCAGGCACACAGCAGAGGCTTGACATTTCTGTAAGAGCAGCAAATTTGTGTGTTCACTGGAGAAGTATAATTGTCCTCCCAGAGAGAAAGTGAGTGGCCATGGCCCCCTGCCTCTGGCCAAGCCAGATCACGCTGTGCTCTCGCTGTTCCATGGTTTTGCTTTCCCAGAGCTGTCCTTGGGCAGCAGCAGGGGAGCCCCTGCCATCACACCCCCACAGCACTGCAGCTCTGGCACCCCACTCCTCAGGCAGCTTTTGTGCAGAATTAGAAGGGCGGTGGCTTTGTTCTCAGCAGGAGAATCCTGTGTTCCTTCCAGGCCACTGGACCCACCAGAGATGTTGCTGGGGGAATTCAACATCGATGGCAGCAATTTTACATAAATTACACAAGACTTTAGCAAACCTGATTTGCAGCACTGTGAGCAGAAAAAAACCATAGGTAAAACCGGTTAAAAAATGAAGCAAGCTCCAGCCTGGGGACTCGTTTCTGGTCCCATGGGAATGACTTCAGCTACCTGGAGTCACCACACAGCCAGCACAAGGTGGGCTGAGCCAGGACCTGGCTTGTCCTGCAGCCCAGCCCACACAGGAGCACAGAGGATCAGAAATGCCTTTCCTTTAAAGGCAATACAGCCCCTGACCTCTGCCACCCCGTGGGAGTGACACAGGCAGGAGCGGTGTCCAGCTGTTCCCCATCCAGTCCACCCTGGCTGCACAGCCTGCTGCCATCAGCCAGCTCCTCTCTGGTGGGGCTGTGGGTGCTGCTGCTCTGGCACCTCCCTTGGCTGCATCTCTGGGACTTGGTGGCAATTGGCTGTTTTGTAGCCATGCCTGGTGACATTCAGTGAGCCAAGCAGAGCTGGCTGCGGCCTTGTCTTACCCTGGAGCAAGGGAACAGCAAGATCTGAGCTCCTCTCATACTGAAGCAGGCTGAGGATGTCCCACCTGCCTTCCAGGAGCTGGTGAGGATCCATCTTTGCTTTGTTTCTGCTCATTAATTGAGCCCTCCCTGCTGTGAGCTCCCTTCCCTTGGGAGGCAGGCAAGCTGTGTGCCCTCCGGCGAGCAGCTCTCTGCCTGGCTTCACCAGGATTCCTCTCTGCACCTCTGTGACCACAGCACTGCAGGGTGCTGTGCAGCAGGACCAGCTTCCAGCATGTGTGAGAGCCTCTCTCTTCTCCTGGGGCAGGAGGGAGTGCCAGGCAGTACAGCTTGGGTACATTGCATACTTGGTAAGCTGTCCCTGCGATGGGAAAGGAGGGATGGAGGAGATCTGTGAGGATTCTTTGTTCACTCTGCAGTGGGAGACCAACCCTGGAATGGCTCCATATCCTGCACAGAAACATCAGTGCCCCTGTGGGTGGTTGTCCCCCCATCCCAAGGACAGAGGTGGTGGCTGGAGTCGTGCTGCAGCGTGCTTGAGGTGCAGAGCCTGAATGGGTGTGGAGAAGGACCTGGGGTGTGATACTGTAGGAGGACAGTGCAGTGGGAGGGACTGGTGCTGGTGAATGCAGAGTGTCCTTCCCTCTGCCATTCCCTGTGCAGGGTGGGCACGGAGGACATGTGGCAGCAGCCAGCCACCTGTCACTTGGAGCAGCTCTCAGGGAGGCTCCTCAAAATGTCCTCCAAGTTCTGCTTGTCGGCCCGGATCTCAGCCAAGTCGCTCTCAAACGCCTGGATCTGCTCCTGCTGCCGTGCTGCCTCCTGCTGCAGCCGCCTGAGCTGTCTGGCCAGGGGACCTGGTGTGGCCAGGCGCCGCCACAGCTGCTCCAGCTGCAGCCTCCCAGCGCTCAGCACCGCCTCCACCTCCGTGTCCTGCTCCAGCTCACCTGGGCAAGGAGGGACAGTGTCACAGATATCTTTTATGAAAAACCCTTTCCTTAGGATTTTTCCTCCTGAGAAGCTGAGAGGCCTCAGGAATAAAATGTAAACATTGATTATCTGCTGCTGTGGAATGCAACAGGTGGATCTTTGATTGGCCCATGTTGGTTGTTTCTAATTAATGGCCAATCACAGCCCAGCTGGCTTGGACAGACAGTCTGAGCCACAAGCATTTGTTATCATTCTTTCCTTTTCTATTCTTTGCTAGCCTTCTGACTAAATCCTTTCTTCTATTCTTTTAGTATAGTTTTAATATAATATATATCATAAAATAATAAATCAGCCTTCTGAAACATGGAGTCAGATTCTCTTCTCTTCCCTCATCCTCCGACCCCTGTGAACACGGTCACAGGAGAGGACATGGATGAGAGCAGAGAAGGGGACAGGAGATGTTCTGGATGTACTCCATGGCACCAGGCAGACTATAAGGAGTGGGTGCAGCAGGGCATGGAGGCTTAGCAGCTTCTCACTGATCACAGACAAGCAAACAGAGCTGTGGCTCCAGGCAGGGCCTGGGCACTTCTCATTCCTACAAATGGGTCATGGTTTCCAGGCTTTTGCAAAGTTTCTTGGATGCAAGAGTCCTGGAATGCTCAGAAATAAACCCACGTGATAAAAACAGGAGGAGCTGGAGCAAGACCAACCAGCAACAAGGAGCAAACCAGTCTAGCACAGCCCTCAGTTCCAAAGGGACTTTGCCAGCCTTGTTCCCCCTGAGGATCCCAAGGGAGATCAGTGTACCCAGAGCAGACATGAGCACACACATTCAGCAAGCCCCAATTCATTCTTCATGAGCCTTAAAGAAGTTTGCTGCGACCATGGATATCTCAGCCAAAAGAGCACTCAGCTCAGCCTGGATGGCCATCAGGCAGGAGTAGCAGCGAGCAGGAGAGCCCAGGCCCCCGAGAGCCCAGCCCTCTCCCTGGAACCCACACCCCATTTCCCCCCAGGTCTCACCTAGGCTGTTCAGCAGGGTGTTCAGGGTCTCGATGTCCGACATGAGGGAGCTCCGTGCGTCCTGGAGACTTTTTGCCATCTCACTCACCTCTGACCCCACCTTCCAACAGAGACAGACACCCAGATCAGGGACACCACTGACCCTTGGCTGGATGGTGGAGGAGATCCCAGGAACATCCCCAAGGTGTTGTCACTACAGTGGAGCTCCCCAAGGTGTTGTCCCTACAGTGGAGCTCCCAAACCAGATTGTTCCCTATGCTTTGGGCTGTGGGCAAAGCTGCCTCCATCCTCTGGAGGACACAGCCTGCCCAAGGGAGCCCAGCTGACCTGCTGTGCTTCCTCCAGGTCTCCTCTGAGCTTCTCAGCCATGTGCTCCTGCCGGGAGAGCTCCCACTGGGTCTCATTGGCACGCATGGCGAGCTGGCTGGCGTGTTTCAGGGCCTGTTTGCTCTCCTGCAGCACAGCCCGTGCCCTCTGCAAAGGGACAGAGATGAGGACAGTCACCTGGGGACACAGCCCTGCCTGCAGCAGCCTGGGCTCTCTGGGTGATGGCTGTGAGCCTGGCCATGCCCAGCAGCTCCACCCCAATGCCTCAGCTCAGACCTTGGCACTCTCCTCAGAGAGTTTCTCAGCCTCCCCAGCTGTCCTCTGGGCTGTGGTGGAGATGGACAGGGAGTTTCCCAGTGTCTTCTCTGCCTGTTTAATCTTCCTCTGAGCATCCACCACCACTCTGTCCCGTACAGTGGCCATCCTCCTCCTCAGGGCAGCCTGACTCTTCCGATGCCCCAGCACCTTCTTCATGCCTATGGGAGCAACCTGGCCATCACCAAACTGTCCTTTTCTCCCCTTGCCACCTGGTGAGAGCCAGGTTGTGACTGGAGATGCTCTGACTGCTGCCTTTTACCTTCCAAGCTGGCCAGGAGGGACTCAGCATCAGAGAGAACAGCTTTTCCTCGGGAGACAGCCATGGTGGCCATGTCATGGGCAGAGCCAGCCTGGTCCTGGAGCTGGAGAGGAGAGAGGAGGAATGAGGCTGGGCAGCTGGGAGGCATCTGGGAGGAATGAAGCTGACCACACCTGGCTGCAGGAGCAGCAGGGATGGGTTTTCCCATTCCTGTGAGCAGCAATTACCTGCTTGAAGCCACGAGTCCTCTGCAGCTCCAGGTGCAATCCAGCTGTCAGTGCATGGGATGCCTCCACAGCCTGCTGAGCCAGGGGCTCCTGGGCTGCTGCTGCCTGCTCCAGCACTGCCAGCTCCTGTGCCAGGTCGGCAGCCTGCATTGGCAGCACCTGCTGCAGGATCAGGAGTGCCAAAGGCTCCATGAGATCATCTCCCAGCTTGGTAAAGCAGGAGGTAGGGGTGCCAGCAGGAGCTGTAGTTTGGGTGCTGCTCACCTGCCCCAGAGCAGCCACCTGCAAGAGTCTCTCAGCCAGGTCAGCCTGTGCCTGTTCCACAGCTGCCAGAGCTCTCCTGGCCTCCGCTGCCACCTCTGCCATGCCAGCACTCAGCTCCTCCTGTGCCCGCTGGATTTCCTCGTACCTACACAGCACACTGCTGTCAGCCAGGGCCCTCTGGTTCCTTCAAGGATGAAGAGGACAATGTGGCCCTGGACATGGATGTAGCAGGAAATTCTGGGGCTTTTCTTGAACCCCCACAGCACACAGCACCCTGTCCCTCTGCTTTACAGCACTGTGGTGCAATGAGTTTGAAGGTGCTCAGCACGTGCCTGTTGGGCAGGTGCCAAGTCCCTGTGACTGAGCTCTGTGACAGGGACCTGGCCAGAGGAAAGGGGCTCTGGTGCCCTGCCAGCCCCTCACCCAGCCTCCAGCTCGTGCTGCACGTCCTGTGTGCTGTTCCTCTCCAGCAGGTTCCTCAGGAGCTCGGAGCTGGCTTTGGAGGCATGCAGTGCTCTCCTGACCACAGCCTCCACCTGTGCCGTGGAGTCCTTGTGGCTGCAGGGACAAGGACACGCAGATAGAGGCAATCAGGATTGGACTCCTAGTAAAGGAATGGGCCCCCTGCACCCCCAGCTGGGCTGACAGCTTCCTCTGCCTGCTCAAATCTTACCTCTTGGACAGAGCCTGAGCCTCCAGTGCCCAGTGGCTCCAGTTTGTGGGCTGCTGTGGGATTTCCTGGGGAATTTCCTTGGAACGCAAACAGCAGCACTGAGACCCTGGCAGGGGGCAGGCACCCCTGCACCCTGCCGGCCCAGCACCACCAAGAACCTCCCAAAGGGCCAGAGCAAAGAGAATATCTCCTCTTGACTCAGCTGCAAGGAGGGCTATACCCACATGGAGCCCAGGCTTTCCCACTTACTCCCCCATTCACATCCCACCCCAACAATCCAGTGCCCCCCAGGATTGCCACCACCCCCCTCAGGAGCCCCCACCGTGGTAGCCAGGGTGTCAGCAGCATGCAGGATCTCCTGCTCAGCCGACTGCAGCACGACCCTGATCTCCGAGAGCAGCGTGCAGGTCTTGGGGGGTCCGTGATGGGAGCAGCTGGTGGCCTGGCTGGCATTGCTGAGACGGCCTTGTGCAATGTTCAGTGCCCCTGCCAGCTGCCCCACCTGCACCAGGAGGGTGGCCCAGGCACCTGTGGGCAGCACAAGCATCTTGTTGCCCGTTGGGGTTGCTCAGAGCTCCCTGCTGCCCTGTGGAGCTGCCCCAAGCCCCAGCCCCTAACACCTACTGCTGAAAGGGGAGTACAGTCCCTCTGGGTGCTCAGGGGGGAGCCAGGAATTCAGTACCCAAAGGGCACCCATGTGTTGGTGCTCAGACCCCAGTAATGCCCATCACTGCCTGCTCCAAGACCTCAGTGGTGTGAGCATCCCTGCAGTGCTCTGTCCTCCCAAAAATGCATGTCCCAAAAAGGCATGTCCCCTCCACTGTTCTCCTCCAGGTCACATCACACTGGGTCCAGAGCTCACCTCCTTACACCCCCCCAGCATGTCACAGCACCCTGAGGGAGCCGAGGGTGAAATGGGTGGGAGGAAGGAGAGTCCCCTGTACCTCTGAGGAGGTGTGGGCTGGGCAGCCCATCTCCACGGGGTGCATCTCCCAGCATGGCAGCCTGGCCCGGGTGGGTGTCACAGCCTGGCTTCTGCAGCCACTCCTCCATCTCCTGCAGCCTGGCCTTCAGGCGGTCAGCCTGTGGGCAGGACAGGGGACACGAGGGGGACAGTGAGGCACTGCAGGGGTGTCACAGACATCTCTTATAAAAAGCCTTTCCTTAGGGTTTTTCCTCCTAAGAATCTGAGAGGCCTCAAGAACAAAATGTAAACATTGCTTATCTGCTGCTGTGGAATGCAACAGGTGCATCTGTGATTGGTCTCATGTGGTTGTTTCTAATTAATGGCCAATCACAGTCTAGCTGACTCGGACACTCAGTCTGAGACACAAACCTTTGTTATAATTCCTTCTTTTTCTATTCTTAGCCAGTCTTCTGATGAAATCCTTTCTTCTATTCTTTTAGTATAGTTTTAATATACTATATATCATAAAATAATAAATCAAGCCTTCTGAAACATGGAGTCAGATCCTCATCTCTTCCCTCATCCTCAGACCCCTGTGAACACTGTCACACAGGGCTGCTGTGCCTGCCACAGGCTGTACCTCGTCCTTCACCAGCCCGTAGCAGGCAGGGCACTGCTGGCAGCGGGAGCTCAGCGGCTCCAGGAAGAAGTTGGCCTGGCAGCGGTCACATTTGTAGCCCACGAAGCCAGGGTGGCACAGGCAGGTGCTGTTCTCGTGGCACTGCGGGGTGATGGAGCCCAGCGGGGAGCAGTTGCAGGCTGCAGTGGGGGCAGAAAGGTGTCTCAGTGTGGCTGCCAGCCCCGCTTTGGGGACAAAGATGCAGCGCCCGTGCCCCTTACCTCGGCAGCCCCTGGCAGAGAAGCCGAAGAAGCCGTGCTGGCATCGATCACATCTCCTGCCTGTGACACCAGGTTGGCAGGAGCACTGCCCCGTCAGCGCGTGGCACCCGCTGTCCCGTGACCCTGTTGGGTGGCACTCACAGCTGGCATGAGAAGTGGAGGGTCATGAGCAGGCAATCAGTGCAGAGAGCAGAGCTGGGAGCATGGAGCCATCCCTGGCAGCCCCGTGGGATGCCCCACATACCTCCTGCACCCCACGGTGGGCTCCAGGCCGTAGTAGCCAGGCTGGCACTGCCCACAGGCTCTGCCTGTCACGTGTGGGAGGCAGTGGCACTGGCCTGTGACAGGATCACAACCCTCCAGCCTCGGGTCTGAGCCACTGGGGTTGCAATCACAAGCTATGGGAGACAAAATAACCCTTAAATCCCAGCATAAATAACCAGACAAAATAACCCTTAAATCCTAGCATGGGGCTGGTGGATTGGGCTGCAGGAATGGTGCACTGGGCCTGAGCTCCTGACAACGTGGAGAGCCACATTCCCCCATCAACCAGGGCTCCAAAGAGCCCCTGCAAGCCAGAGTACCTCTGGGGTAGGAAGGCAGTGGAGCAAGAGGGCAAAGGGGAACAGGTGGAGGCAACCTGGACCATCCATCAGCCCCTAAACCTGCTGGGCATCCCCTTCCACCCTCTGCCTGCACTGCTGGGAGGGTTTTGGCTGCAAGTGAGCTGTGCCCCGGGGCTGTACTTACGAGCACACTTCCCAGCAGGGCTGGGAGCCAGCGCATCCCCATAGAAGCCCGGCCGGCACCTCTCGCAGTGCTCGCCCATTGTGTTGTGGAGGCAGCGCAGGCATCGGCCGGACACGGGGTCGCAGTTCCCCACGGCATTGGGATCCACGTTCCCGTGGCACTGGCAGGGCTCACAGGGGTGCACGGGGCCTCTCTGCCCCAGGGGGTCCCCGAAAAACCCATCATCACAGAGCTCACAGCGCTTTCCTGGGGAAGGTGGAATGGTGGCGAGGATCCAGCCGTGCCCGCGCTGCCCACGGCCCCTGTGCCCACCCAGGCCCGGCCTCACCTCTCTGCCCCGGGGGGCAGTGGGTGCACACCACCTCCCCAGTGCTGGGCACCTCGGTGCAGGGCGAGCGGCCGGGACAGGGGCAGGGCTTGCAGTCATCAGAGCGCCCCACGAAGGGGTTGCCGTAAAAGCCGGGGCTGCAGCGCTCGCAGGAGGGACCCTCTGTGTTGTGTGAGCACTGGCAGTGCCCTGCAGGGAGGAAAATCTGCTAACAACTCCAACACACCCCCATGAACAAGCCCCACCACCACAACCAACCCTATCCCAAGACCATAACCAACAACACCCCGACTAGCCCAAGCTTCCGGATGGGGATCCGCCGCCAATGACACTGAATAAACAAACACTACCACCATCCCCCCTAAATAAACTATAACGAGCACCAAAGGCACAAAAGAGACCCCTAAACTTACTAGTCAACCTCACCCTGCAACCACTGCTACAACTGACCCCAACACCCTGTAGTAAGGGTGGGGCTTAGATGCAATCCAGTGGAACCCCTCAGAGCCCAGCGCTGAGCATGGCAAGAGGGATGTGCAGCTCCAACCGAGGGGTTGCACATCCCCAACCAGCACTTGGGACATTTTCCCTCCTTGCCCAGTCTTTGGTAGAGGGAGAAGGTTTTGGAGAGGCCATGGAGGCCGCAGCGATGCAGGGACGAGGCAGCGTTGGCGCAAACAGCACCACCAGTGTGCGCGGGGGCTGCCGGCGCCTGCCGTAATCCACAACACATTTCTGAGCATCGAGGCGCGTCCTTTCCAGCCCGGCTCGGAAAACACAAACAGCCGGCCCGGCACCCACCGGGGAGCATCTCCAGAGCGAGCCGAGCCTCTGAGTCAGCCTTCCGAAATGGGCTGTGAGGAGGAGAGGGAGGAAGAGGAGGAAGAGTGCTCAAGGAACCCCCAGCTCCAGGCAGATGCTCTGCTTCGCTGGAGACAGAGGAGTCGGGGGAGGATTCCCCCCGTGTTTTGTGGGGTCGGGTCATACCAGGAAGGCTGCGCAGGAGGGGGTGTTATTCCATTTTCCCCACATCCAGGCAGAGTCAGACGATGGAAAAGAAAGAAAAAGCGGGTGGCAGGAAGAAGTGGAAAAATAAACGAAAGGAAATGCGCAGGCTGGCAGCGCCCAGGCCGGAACATCAAAAGTCTGGCCCCATCCCTGGGGATTGTGCAGTCGTGGCGCCAGCCCCGCTCTGCGGGATGAGGGCGGGTTTGCAGAGCTGCCGCCGTGGTTCCGTGGGCAGGGCAGGGGCATTTGCCGAGCTCTCTGCCTCCCCAAGCCCTTCCATCCCTGCTGTACATCATTATTGCTCCCCACTGAGGAAAGCCAGCCACCAGGGATTGGGCTGGCAGCACAAGATCTGGCTCCTCTGGTGTCTTCCCTCTGTGTTTTCCTGCTTTTTCACTTGTTTCTCTGCTCAGGTTAACCCTCAGTTTGCAGATTCCAGAGCTGCCCCTGGTCCTGCTCCTCTCATCAGGCAGTGAAGCTGTCTGTGAGATCCAGCCTAGATAAACCCTCTCTGCTGCCCTGGCCCCTGCTCCTCTGAGCACCCACACCCTTCCTTTCTCCTCCTTAGAAGTCATAAAGTATCATGAAAAATGCTCCTCTAATTATAGATTACTACCATTATTGCACTTCATTAATAATCTCTATCTTTGCAGTTATGAACCCGGTCCCTAGAACCACCCAAGCGATTCAGCTTGCAGATTTTGGGAACCACAACCTCACCAGTGGTTCCCAGCTTCCCTCAGAGCAAGCAAAGGCAGGAATTTGTCACCCACACGGGGAGCAGCAGGTGAGTGGCGGGGCTGGAGGGTGCACACCTGTGAGGGGGTGGCAGTCCCCGTGCTGGTTGCAGGTGCAGGGCACGCAGCTGACGAAGGGGCCGCCAAATGGGATCTCCCTCTTGAATCCAGGTGCACAGGACTGGCAGAACTGCCCGCTGTATCCCGTGGGACACGTGCACTCCTCCACCCAGCCCGCGCGTGGGCCCGGCCCGGGGTGAGCAGATGTGAGCTGGACCTGGCTCAGGGACAGCCTGCCTGTGAGAGGGGAGAGCCGTGTGGGAATGGGGTGCTGCATGCCCTGCTCTGCTCTGAAATGCTCCAGACAGACTCCAAAACACCTCCTTGAGAGCCCAGGGGTGTTCACAGAGAGGAGGCAGCCCCTGCCCCAAAACACCCCCCTACAATCCCTCTCATCCTTGAGAGCTTGATGCTGCTTCCATGTCTCCAGTCCCACCCCAGCCTGGTCCCATGGGGATGTCCTGTGGAAATGTCTCAGTCCCACCCCAGCCTGGTTCCCATGGGGATGTCCTGTGGAAATGTCTCAGTCCCACCCCAGCCTGGTCCCAAGGGATGTCCTGTGAAGCCACCCACCTCTCCCGGGGCCGTGGCTCACGCGGAGACGGAGGGAGCTCAGGTTGGAGAGCAGGCGCTGGAAGCTGAAGGCTGACAGCAAAGGCTCTGCACCCTCCTCTGCCTCGTGGAGCCTGTTGGAGAGGGAATGGGGAAGGCAGGACAGGGCCAGCATGGGCTGGGCGCTGCAGGACAGCTCAGCTCCTGGCTGGGACCCGGGCAGGGGGTCCCTGAGATGGGCAGAGAGCAGTAAAGAGCACCCCAGACAAATCAGGCACTGAGCCCTAAACCCACTGAGGCTCCCCAAAACACCGTGATGGGTACCTGAAGGTGACAGCCTGCTTTCCATGCTGGAGCTGGCTCTTGCTGCTGGACATGGTGATCTTCATCCCCTCACCCTCCAGCAGCAGCTGGACCTGGAGCAGGGGCACCCCAGGTTCTGTTCTTGTCCCGTTCTCCACTCCCAGCAGCAGGGACAGGAGCTGCCCATAACTGAAGCGCTGGTTCTGCAGAAACTTCTCTGTGAGGGGAGAGAGGAGCAAAGTCTACAGACATGAAGGCACCAGCTCTGCATTTCTATTCCCACCACCACCCTCAGGAGCCACAGCCACCCTCCTAGGGTGGTGCCATCTCCAGCCAGCCCTCCTGGTGTCCCAATGCACTGTTCCAATGCCCACCACTATGTGTTCTGCTATGGAAATACTCTTGGCTCTGGAATGGAGCCCAGTGCCTCCTGCACCAGCATGGCAGTGGGACAAGAGCACCCCATGGCAGAGCAGCCCCCAGGGACGCAGCACACACAGTACCTGGTGCAAGGAAATCCACTGGCTCCTCTCCACGCCACTCGGCGATGATCTCCCGGCCAGCCCAGCGCAGAGGCAGCTCTGTGGTGCCTGGAGCTGTGGCAGCCCAGCCCTCCAGCCCTGTGTGACAATACAGTGGCAGGGCACAGCTAAGGGAGCAGCAAGTGCCTGCCAGCACAGCACCAGCAGGGCGCTGCTTTCAGGGGCTCTGTCCCTGCTCCCAACACTCTCTCGAGTCTGGGAAGGGGCCAGCATTTTCTAACACCCTGCCCCACTTAGGCTCTCTGCTCTCACAAACTGGAGGGTGGATTTAACCACCCCTCATCTATTTATTTTCTTAGATTTGGAGGAAATTATTATCTTTAAACTTTTGCCCTCCTGTCTGTGCTGCCATTCTAACATTACTGTGTGCTGGTGAGCACAGGAAGCCTGAGGAGAAATGCTGGAGAAGCCCAGAAGAGATGGGCCCTAGCTCCATTAAGTTGGTTTCCTTAAGAAACCAGTTAAACTCCCACCCGTTCTGCAGGGTTAGTTATTTCTTCCAGCTCTGCAGGACAAACACTTGGAAATCTCTCAAGTGGGCTGTGCTCTGTTATCAAATCATCCCCAATTTATACTTTCACCCAGTGCAAGAAAATTCCATCTGATCCCCCTCCACTCTGGGCTGGGGAATGTTTTGGGGAGCAGGGATTTAGGAGGGTGCTGTGGCTGCATCTCAGCTCAGAAACTGCCAAACCAGTCCCCAAAGGAGCAGCCCCAAACTGGCTGTGTGAAGGATGGAAAAAAAGGCTCGGTTTAAAGCCTGGCTATGTTTCAAGGCCGTGAAGACATTCCAGCAGCACAGCAATTGGCAGCGCGGTTTAAAGGCAATTAAGATCCGCCCGTGCCTGGCGCGTTCGCATCCATCTGGGAAGCGCGGGGTGCCCGCCGGGGGTGCCCGTGCCCGCGGTGTCCCCGCAGCGTGCGGCAGATGGCAGGGTTTCCCCAGCATCCCGCACGCTCCCAGCCCTGCCAGCAGCCAGGCAAAAGCGCCACCTCCCTCCCTCCCGCCCGTCCAACCGCGCTGTCACATCCCAGCCCAGCACGGGGACAGAAGGGAATAATTGGGGAAGTTCCCAGCAGGCTCCGTCCTATTGGTTTTTTTGTCTTTCTGAGCGGATCTTTAGTGCTCCTGCAGTCCCTGGTGTGGTGCAATGTCTATGCCTGGTCCCACAGCCCTCCCTGAGCCATGCACAGCCCCAGGAGCAGGTTGGCATGGAGGGGTGCCACGGGGAGTCACGACACCCTGTCCCCATGGAGCTGGGGGCAGAAGCAGAAATTTAACAGGGGCAACCCAGAGAAATCTCTCTCCACCCATCAGCACCAGTTAGCTCCAAAGGGAGATGCTCAGCCCCAAAGGGGGACATTCAGCCACATCCTTCCCAAACATTTTTGGCTGAAATTGGCAGAGCAGTGCCCTCTGTTTCACCTGGGGCTGGAGAGGGTCGTTACCTTGGCTGAAGTCGGAGCGGATCTGGGTCTCCTCGTATCCGTCTGCCGCCCTGCAGGCGCTGGAGTGACCATAACAGAAGCAGCTGGTGCAGCCAATGGGGTTATGGGGCTGCAGGTTAAACCAGCCTGGTTGGCACCTGGGCACGGGGAGGAAACAGGAGAATGTGGCACAGGTCAGGGAGCCACGGCAGTGTCACTGTGTGGGACACTGTGACAGCTCCTGTGAGCGCAGCACCAGTGGTCCACAGGAATGCAGCCCCACAGCCCTGCCACCAATTTCAAGACTGGAAAGGGACAGTGTTCCTGTCCCCATGCCAGGTGCTCACCTGTTGCACAGGTGTCCCTCCACCCTCTCCTTGCAGGTGCAGCGTCCCGTGTTGGGGTCACAGGTGCCCACACTGCCCGCGGGGTCACAGCTGCAGGGTCTGGATGGAGTGAGATAAAGGCAGGATGGGGTGAGATAAAGGCAGGACGGGGTGAGCCCCGGTCCCATCCCGCTGCCCCTGCCCAGGCCGGGCTCTTCCTCACCTGCAGCCGCCCTCGCTGAGGCTGTGGTAGCCGTCCTTGCAGCGCTCACACTTCCAGCCCGTCACGTTGGCTTTGCAGACGCAGGTCCCCGAGCTGTCGCACTGGGGCTGCAGGGACCCTGCGGGGACCCCGGCCAGCCCTGAGGCTCAACTCCTGCCGGGGAAAGACGGGGAAACCCCGAGCAAGAGACAACCCACCAAAAACCATCCCTCTCGGCAAACTCCGGCTGGGTTATCGCTAGCTTTGCCGCACGCACCTGCGGGGTGGCAGTGGCAGGGCTGGCAGGCTCCCTGCGGCTCCCAGCGGTAGTAGTTCTGCCTGCAGCTCTCGCAGTGGGGCCCGGCCGTGTTGTCGCGGCAGTTGAGGCAGTGTCCCCCGCGCCCGCTGCGCCGGAACAGCTCCCGGTCGTAGAAACACTCCTCGGAGCGGCCGCTACAGTTGCAAGCTGCGGGAGAGGCGGGAGGACGGGTGGGCACCTGGCAGGCACTGGAGGTCCCAGATGGGACTCCTTGGCCCAGCAGTGAGAGTTTTCAGCAGTGCCTGTGCCCTCGGAAGCAGAGGTGGGTGCAGTACAATGCAGGGAGCAGATGGCTGCACTCGTGGGGTAAAGGGAATTGGAGTACTCAGGGTGCTGCAGCGAAGGGGAGCCCCGGGGTACAAATCCTCCCTCCCTCCCAAAATGGAGCAGTGCAGGAAGGGCAGGAGGTGCCAGGTGAGCTGATGCAGCAGCAGGGCACCCATCGGGGCAGGAGGTGCCAGGTGAGCTGATGCAGCAGCAGGGCACCCATCAGGGCAGAAGGTGCCAGGTGAGCTGGTGCAGCAGCAGGGCACCCATCGGGGCAGGAGGTGCCAGGTGAGCTGGTGCAGCAGCAGGACACACAGAACCACGGGGGGGTACTCACGGAGGCACTCGTTGGCAGCCTCGGCCGTGCCGCGTGCCCAGGGCCGGTCCTGGTAGAAGGGCTGGCAGCGCTCACAGTCGGTGCCAGCCGTGTGGTGCTGGCACACACACACCAGCTGCCCGGCCTTGTCCGGCAAGCACTCGCTGGCGTGGCCATTGCATTTGCACCTGCAGTGAGACCCCAGCATGGGGCAGCCGCTCTGAGCAGTGTGGGCAGCAGCAGCAGTGGCACAGTGCCCAGGCTGTGCAGTGTGTGACCCTGCTGCTGGCCTGGCGGTGGGGTGAGAGCAGCGCAGGCTGTGCTGGCCTCGAGGCCGCCTGTCATGTCCCTGAGGCTCTCCCACTCTGGCCAGTTGGGAGGTCACACACTGAGGGTGGCCCGTGCTGACCAGCTCCAGCTGCTGGCCCCAGAGGTGGGACAACAGCTCCAGGTCTGCTGGCTGGGAGCGATCCCAGCCCCACTGCCTGGGGCAGACAGAGCTCTCAGGGATGGGGAAATTTTCCACTGCTCCCAGCTGGGGAAGGGCATGTGCAGCCCAGCCCACGGGCAGCACAAAGTGGGTGCCACCTGCATCTCTATCCCACATCTGCTGCCCTTTCCTGCTGGCAGCTGTCCCACTTTCTCTGCCCGTGGCCTCTGCAGCTTCAGAGGTCACCTTTCCACTAGAACCCCACGGCTCCCCTTTTGCAGCGCCCAGGAACCAGCAGGGTCACAGGAAGAGCAACACGAGCCCCAGCATCATTAAAGGCCATTGGACTGGGAGGGAACAAAGCAAATACAACTGCTGACACATGAAGTGAGCTACTGGGGAAAAGAATATTCCTGCACAGCTCGGAGGTCTCCAGATTTCATCACCTATCTCTGCATTTCCAGCTCCAGTTTACACATGGAGGAAGCCACACCTGAGCAGTTTGCCCCAAAATCACAATTCAGACAAGAGATGGGGAGCAGCTGCCCCAGTCCCACAGCCCCAAGAAGGTCCCCATACCTCTGCCTGGCTGCTCCTCACCTGCCACCAACAGAGAAGTCAGATATGGCGTAGTAGTAGGACTGCAACACCTTGGGGTCCTTGAAGATGTCATCCCCAAATGTGTTGAGCCGGTTCAAGGAGATGAGCAGGTCAGTGACTGTCACCCACTCCTGCAAGGGACATGGGGAAGCCACCTTGGTGAAGAGGTCTGGGCCACAATCTCCCACCCCAACTAGGCCACATCCTGCAGATTTTCAAGCCAGGCTGCAGCTCATCCCCAGCTGGGTGCAATAATTCTCTTGATCCCAAGGCTCCATGCCCCACACCCCAATCCCACCCCGGTGGCACCTGCAGCGCGGGGCTCCCATCAAAATTGTAGGCGCTGGGCCGTCCCTCCAGAGTGGAGAAGGCCACGTTGCCGCCGCTCAGCGGGGAGATGTCGCTGAACTCGTCGCTGCAGAAGGCCACCTGCTCGTCCTCGCCGG